ACATCACAATGCCAATATTTACTGGCTGTATTTTGACATTTATAGTTATGAAATTTGCTATAGTCTTTTGAATTGAACAGTAGGCTTTTAGCTTCTAAGTACGCATAATCTCTCTGGTGATTTATACCTTTAATTTGAAACTACATGCATATCAAAATGTAAAGATTTTTTGTTACAGGCTGACTTTTTTAATGCAGGTCTACAACTTGAAACAGCCAATCTTATTTCCTTGAAAATCTTTCAAAGCGACGTCGGTTGATTGTTTTAAAACGGCTGACAACGTTGTCTTTAAAAGAAGGTCTAGCTGCAAGCAACTTCAGCAATCGATTTTCCACTTGAAGAAAAACTAGATTTTCCTTTCTGGTTTGGAGCATCTTCGATCTTAAAGCGGAAACCACACGCTTCATTCTGCTGAAAACTCTCTCACAGTGAACACTCGTAAGTGGTATTGTTACGGCAAGCTCCAGCAACTTTACCACTTGTGGAAGGGCGTCAGAAAGGTCAGCACTCTTGATTACAAAAAGAAGATCTTGAATCGTTGGCATGCCTTCCTTTACCAATTCAATCTCCAGGTTGCCGCCTTCTTCAACTTCGAACAGATCTCGCTCTTCTACATCTTCTGTGTCACTTGCGGCATCTGCACCAACTTCCACCTCTTTTCGAGCACGTTTTCTTCGTCGAGCTTGCTTTTGCGCCGCCAAAGCAACACGCTCGCGTACCAACTTTTTCAGCAAAATAGCAATCTCGTTATTGTTGTACAATACGTTCAGATTATATTCTGTAGCTGTCGTATCATCCACGGCAAATGGGTAATGTTTCCGAAGCTCCTCGATCAGCAGTCTTTGCTCCCGCATAGTTGCTTCTTTTCTCTCATTAAATTTGCTTGGATGCACTAAATTCATCCATTGGAATTTTGAGAGGTTTGCAAATCGCCAATCGAGTTGCTCCGTAAACTTTGCAACAATTTCTTTGCCGAGTTTTGTAAGAGTTGACCTCCAGCTCTCCTGTGATCCATCATTTCCTTGCTCCATTGCTCTCCATCCTCCCCTATTGCGAACGGTAGGAAGCTCAGGATCAGTAAGTAGAGTATCTTCCCAAACTCCATCAAAATTGAAATTTGCCAAGACTCCTTTAAAATCATTTATCATTGAGGTCAGCTGTATGGCATCCAGGGTCGTTTTCTGCATTGTGACTATTATGGGAGTACAGTGCTCGAATATCTTCCTGTACGTCTTGAGCAAAAACACAAACTCGACTTGCTGCATCTGTGTCCCTATTCCACGAGCTTTTGTCTGAGTCTCTGCCTTTTCGTTGGAAGCATTTGAAAACTCGTATAATGCAGCACCGATATCCTCATAAAATGAATCTATAACGCCAATTGCTGTGTCACGCGATAGCCAGCGAGTGTCTCCAGGTCTTGGAAGGCTATGTCCCAGATGTCTACTGCGTTTTGGACTGCTACGAAAGAAATTAATCATTCTGTCAATCGTGGCGAAGAATTTGGCTACTTTTGGAATTTTAGTAGCGGATTGAGAGGCACTCAATGACATCCTGTGAGCGACACAATGATTGTAGTAGGCTACAGGAAATCTTCTTTGCATCTGCGCCTGAACACCATTTAGCTCACCGCTCATAGTCGCAGCTCCATCGTAAGATTGGCCGACAACCTTCTCACAGAAAGCATCTGGGACGATTTTGTATTTTGCGAGGGTATTTAGAAGGGCTGTGGTTAGGCCATCTGCTGATTGGTCGTCACTCACGTCGATAAGTCCCAATAAATGCTCCTCCACTTCTCCTTGGTGAATGAGCCTGACAGAAACTGCTGACTGCTCGACATTGCTGATATCACTAGTATCATCCATCATGATTGCAATAAAATTCGAAGTGTGGATTCGATTTTGAATCTCACTGCGTACTTCTTCAGCGATGCAATCGATGAGGTCATTTTGCGGATCATGGGATGTGTACGTCACGTGTTCTTTGTCTAAAAAGGAGCGCAGTTCGTGGCTATAGCATGCTAGGAGGTCCATAAGCTCCAGGAAATTGCCCCGGTTCGATGACCGTTTGGACTCGTCGTGAGCACGAAATGCGAGCCCTTGGCCAGACAATAGCACAGAAATATCAATGTGGTGGTGCAGCATCTTTGTATACCGTGATGCGTTGTTGTTGTGTCTTGTCACTTCTCTTTGCCTGGCCTCATCTATAGCACAAGCGACATCAACGTTCCCAAGCAACTTGTATGACGTGTGGTTCATCATATGCTTTTTTGATGATTGATGGCTGCCAGCAACATTTACAAGGTTCCGTCCAGTCGATTTGAAACCGTTCACTTGCACAAATGAACCTTTCATCTGTTGAATTAGATAAAATTCAACGTTAGATGTATAGAACCAAAATTACAAATATTTCAAACCAGATATTTCCAAGTATAGGCACAAAATTCTTCTAAAATGTGCTCTTTACAGGATGTATATTCATGTTTCAAAATGCTTTTAATCTCGAAGATATTTATAATTCAAACAAAGCACGAAATGAAGGGAAAATTGATTAAATTTCTTCCATTATTATAATACTGGATTTAGCAAGCCATTCACCATATCTTTTATGTACACCCATAACTAAAGCTAGAATTTAAATTATTTTTTTAAGAAACTGAGAATTAAGAGTTTAAGACAGTAACAAGTAAATCGAGAATACAGGCAAAAAAATGAAGTGAATATACAGCAAGATGTTTCCCTTTAGCTTCCTAAGTCATATTTTCTAGAACTTGAGTTTCTTATTTTTTTTGCAATATCAGGGTTCAGTTTCTTATAAGCGGTTTACTCTCGATATTAGGCCGTAGGCTTGCGGCTCTTATTCATGTGGGATTCAAACAGTCTCGTGTTTATCCTCTACGGCCTCCGTGGCCTTCACGGCCTTTATACTCCTAGCCTCCAAAAGGGCAAGGTAATCGCTGGCTGATTTGACTACCTTGGTCTGAGAGGTCTTGTTATGTGGATGTCAAATGACCTTGGATCGTAATTTTGGTACGATGTAATTTGAAAACCAACCCAGATATGTTTATAGAGCTCCAGCCTAATTAATGATTCGCATACGATTTTATTTGATTTACTTCAATTTACTTATTGAACCTCATATTATTTTTTGACAGTAAAATATGAATCTGGTCATATGAAATTATTTAAACAAAATTTAGTAAAATATACGCTTACCGTTGATATGTCACCCATCACTAGACAGGACAGGGCCAGCAATAAAATGTCTCCTTGCCTTCTTCATTTTCTCCGCCACATATCCATGAAAAAGATTCATACACCGAAGCACTCGTTCTCCCCGCATACTTTATTCTTGGACACGGCCTTCCATCTTTCTTTAGGCGCAATCGTTGTTCGTGACTCAAATTGTTACTTTGTGCTGCACGTAGTGAAAAAATTTTCGAAACACCCCATCTAATATCGTTACCCAAAACTCGATCCATGACAAAAAATTTAATTTTTCAAGAGCAACAGTGCTAAGGTAAACGGGTTGCGGAATGACTATGTTGCTGCGAGGCACTCTCTCTTTTAAGGCCGTCAGTTCAATGATTACCTTCGCGGCCTCGTGTTGTGTAGGCACGGCCATGCTAATCCTCAAATTCAATAGCTATCATATTAAACAAAAGCGATGTTTGCAGAAAGATTCTCAGCTAATTATCGACTGTCTGTGAAACCATGGTAAAGAAAGCAAGAGAGCAATGAGTCAATATATGTCATAGAGCACAATAAGAGGGCTCCACCTCGTTGTTATGACGCAACAACTGTTTAAAACTTCGAAAACGTCATGTTTTGTATGACTTTGCGAGAAACAAAATAGCTCTAAAATTCTTGAAGAAATAGGTAATCAGCAATTACCTTGATTACCCCCCAACGCCGCCCCTGGTTGAAACCCTTGTTTTCTTGAAACCCTTTTAATGAAGTAAGCTTTTTAATAGTAAGACTCTTCCAATGCTGAAACCATTTATGTTTTGATCCCTCTTAATGTTGAAACCCTTCTATTGTTGAAACCCCTGTTCTGTTGAAACCCTTATCATGTCAAAACCCTTAAAATAATAACATTGAAACCCTTCTTATGCTGTCGCATAATCCCTCAAGGTAGGCATCGATTTATTTCATGCATGAATCGAAAGAAGCGCGAGAGAAGGAGAAATTAATTGTTTGATTGGGTCCTTGTTTAAGGCTCCAGCTGTTACTGTACCTGGAACAGATCAACGATAACGGAATTGTTGTTTTTGGAGTAGTCTTTCCAGGCGCTAATTGCAGCAACGTCATCAGGAAGGTTATCGTTGTTTTGTTCGATCATGGGCACTCTCTTTCTGACCTGCGAAACCAGAAGAAACGGATAAAAACATTTCTACTAGGAAAAAAACCAAAAAATTCAACATAACAGTCACTTTTCTTAAAACGGTCACATCCTGTAAACAAAAAAACCTATTTTGACATTAAATTTCTTTTCTGCTAGCAAACCCTTGGAAAAGTAGGTAAAGAAAACAGTGAAGTGGAGACTTCCCTTTAGCTGACAGTAACAATCTTTACAGTAAAACCTGATACACTTTTCTATAAGAAAAGTTTTATAAGAACACGAACCTTAATATTGGTAAAAAGTTGAGAACAAATTAAGAACAAGCTGAGGCTGAGCTCCTGTAAAATGCAATTTTGAACAATGTTTTATCTCAAAATCGAGGATTTTTAGCGATGTGTGGGTGCTTTTTCGGTGAATATTCAAATTTGTCAGCAAATTAAGGTTGTCTCATTCACTTTGTTGGCAAATGAGACCTGAATACTTCCCTAGAGCAAAAAAGCTAGCAATCATACTGCTTACACACTCTTAATTTAAGAACAAGTTAAGAACAATCCAGCCTCAGATTTTCGAAATTAAGAACATTCAGCTTGAACTCATTGGTTCTTATTTAAAAATTGCAGATAAAAACTCCAAGCAAGGACATTCCCTATAAGAAATAGTACTGCAGTTTCCATGTGTCCACTTCATATGGGATTCACAACACCATAAAAACACGATCAAATCCTTTATCAAAAAGACGTGTAAAGAAATTAAGTTGTTTACGATGAAGTTAAATGAACTAGAGCCTAAGTGATTTTGATCCAGTTTTTCTAACTGATTTTTACGACATCTCAAAACGTTGCATATAAAAGATAGAATGTAAAAATAGAAAATCTGGAACATACCTTATTGACATCTTCGTGGATTCCATCCATAAAGAACATGAGAAACTCGTGTGCATCTTGTTGTTTTGTTCCAGAGAATTGCGACGCGAATCTCCCAACTGCAATCTTGAAATCAAGAGGCGAAACAGAGCGGTATTGTCCGGACCAGAGGACCTTGATAAGAAATGCTAGCTCTTTTACTACTTCTTCTGGTCTGCGATTCATACTGTTTGGATTAAGGTGACGCAAATATTCACCATTGTTTAAGTATCTAGCCAGCGCGACTGTACTGCTAAGGCACTGGATAACAGAATTCATGTAACATGTGTTACCCAGGTTTTTCAGTCCAGTAAGGTTTTGACCCTGTAAATGAACAATTCAAAGGAAAGTTAGCCTTGTCATTATCAAATAGGTTCTTGTACTTTATATAGTTGAGCTTGTGAAAATTGCCTTACAAAATTGTTGGCCTCTTACTTTAACAGCAAGCACTGGCGTAAGCATTGTTTGCGGTTTAGGGGTCAATCTATACATTACACAAAGTTGCAGAAAAAGCTTGTGGAAAACTTGTTTTTCTAGCTAAAACCTTACATTAGATTCCAAGGATAAAAGCTTAACATTTGCAAAGAAAAACGCAAATGATGAAACGGGTAGCAATTCGATTGAACTTTTATCTAAACAGCAAAATGAATATGCAAGAAAATTTATCTGGGTTCATGAATTTTGCCATCCTAAAAGTTTGTTAGACATGTGGCATTTTCCAAATGTCAAAAATAAGTGAATAGCGAGACAAAATAACGTAGACGACTCATATAAATGATGTGATGCTGAAAATCATATCATATCAATGATGTGATGGTGATGCTGAAAAACGACAATCAATGCTGTGGTTACGATACAATACCTTGCTGCCATAGACGGGAGAAAGATTCTGCAAGCGTGATTTTGGGAGAGGCTTCGTTGATCTGTCAACAATCTGCTGTTTCGATTGACTGTAGAAAATAAGTATCACAATTATAAAAACAGTCCAGCAAAAGAGCTTCGTAAGAAGTACATAAGGAGGATTTCATCACTGGAGGTGGTTTCAACATCAGAAAGGTCTCCACTTAAAAGAGATTTAGCAAAGGGATCAACATTGGAAAGGTTTCAATATTGAAAGGGTTTCAACATAAGGAAGGATTCTGTGTCAGAAAGGTTTCAACATCAGAAAGGTCTCCACTTAAAAGAGATTTAGCAAAGGGATCTACATTGGAAAGGTTTCAATATTGAAAGGGTTTCAACATCAGAAAGGTCTCCACTTAAAAGAGATTTAGCAAAGGGATCAAAATTTGAGGGGTTTCAACATTGAATGGGGCTCAAGATAAGAAGGGATTATGCGTGAAACAGGTTTCAACATCAGAAAGGTCTCCACTCAAAAGAGATTTAGCAAAGGGATCAACATTGGAAAGGTTTCAACATTGAAAGGGGTTCAACATAAGGAAGGATTCTGTGTGAGAAAGGTTTCAACATCAGAAAGGGTAACACGTTAAAAGAGAATCAGCATCAAAAGGGATCATCATTTAAAGGGATTCAACATTGGAAAGGTTTCAAAATTGGAAAGGTTTCAACGTTGAAAGGATTCTGCATGAGGCAGGTTTCAGCATCAGAAAGGTTTCCACTTTAAAAGAGAATCGGCATCAAAAGGGATCGACATTTAAAGGGATTCATTATTGGTAAGGTTTCAACATTTGAAGGGTTTCAACATCTAAAGGGTTTCAACATTCAAAGGGTTTCAACATCAAAAGGTTTCAACATTTGAAGGGTTTCAAACATTTGAAGAATTTCAACATTGGAAGGGTTTTAACATTGGAAGGGTTTCAACATTGCAAGTACTTTGCCAACAGAAAGAGTACGACAATAGAAGGGTTTCAATAAAATAAAAGAATCGGCACTGGACTGGTTTCGATTGTTTGAAAAGACATAAGCTTTACCTTGGCTTCAATGTGCGGTCAACAACAGGTCGAACTGGTTTTGCAATCTCTTTGTTTACTTCAAGATCAGCGAGGTTTGGGGTTGACAACGACCTCTTCAGTGCCGGCTGCGGTTCCTCTTCCTCCTTCGCAGTAGGCGGCTCTGGTGCTTGTCTTTTCTGTTTCTTCGTTTCAGTCTCTTTCTCTCTACTAGCATAAAAATCAGGCGGAAGTTCCCAGTGAGTGGACTTTGTTATATGATCAATGAAATAAATACGTCCAGTTCTTTTATCAACGCTTTTTTCCCAGCCGTGGGGCAGACCTGGGGTTGTGACAATCTGCAAAAATAAAACAAGGTACATAGATCTGTGAAGCAGAAATCATTATAACGATGTCTGACGGAGACCCGTCACTTTTTGCCAGCAATTGCCTGACATTAAGGGGTGTTAACTGGGCGGGGGGCGAGGGGGCTGTGTCCCTTACTAATGCTAAAAAAGTTTATTCCTTTATTTCAATATTGTCTCTTTGGAAATATCTCGCGAGGGGCCTCTTGTTCTTTTCATAGCACAACATCCCTATCGATGTGCTGGCAAAAGCAAAAGACAGTGCTATGGAAGTACAATGATCTATTTCATAAATATAAACATAGTTTGCTTCAATTGTTGACATAGGCAATTCTCGATTAGTATCCAAAATTTGGCTATAACATTTACTACAGTTGAAACGATCGAGTTCTCAGATCTGGGTCGTGCCCAGTCCTTTCTCCCATCAACCACTGCGGACAAAAAAAAGTATGAATTAGAACTTATAAATCTCACAAATTGGACGTCCTTTGTGCAACGGCCTAGACTAACACAAACTACCAAAGGAATGGTCTACCTCTTACCCTTCAACAAAACAGAGTCAAGTTAAATCCAAAACTACTTGATTTTCTTACCTCTTGTTCCATAGTTTCTGAATCCGCCCTGGCAGCTTTAAAATTGTCACTTGACATCTGCGGTCGTAACATTGTAGAATTTGACAGATGGCTGACTGTGTTACTGGGGCGTGTGATGGGAGACATGGGGAAGTTACCAGAATGCCCTTTAGTTGGAGATTGTGTTAGTTTTGGCTGCTGACCCTCACTTGGTGTAGGTGGCTTTGTACCCGCTTGGTTTGCGTTTGCACCAGGTAAGGCTCCACTTGTTCCAGGTTTCCCTGGCACGTTGGTGGTTGCTGTGGGACTCATTGGTACATTTGCGCTTGGTCTTAAATCCTGTGGTAAATTTGCACCTATTCCTTGTTTCGGTACTAAATTAGCATTTGAGCCAGTGCTAGGAGGAATTTTGTGGCTCTGTCCTGGTTTAAGTGGTACATTTCCTGAAGAACCAAGACCAGGTTGCATATAGCCACTTGTTCCTGTTATAGGTCCGTTGGCTCTGGTAGCTGGACCTCCGCTTGACATGTCCGCATTCCGTGGTAGAGACTTTGAGGAAAATGACTGATGGGGTACTGGGGTATTGGCTGGTTGATTGTAGGGGGCTGAATTTGACCTTTGAGTTGCAGGGTTATCGTGGGGAATTGCGGCATTTGCTCTAGGGTAGCCCTGCGACATGGTATTTGAATTGGAAGCTGCTCTAGGGAGAGTTGAATACCTGCTTGCATCCTTCTCAGAAGCATTACTCGCATTAAAGGCATCCTTGGAGGTTGAGGTGGCACTAGCTGGTACTGTGTGTCCCTCATTCTCCCTTTTCAGTGTGTGAATCCCAAACGGTTGGTACTTTTCATTCCTTGAGACAGGCTTCCCATCCTTTCCAATGGAGCCCAAATGCTTTCTCATTTCATACTGTTCTTCAAGACCAACGTCTTTATACTTCGCAAACAATACCTGACCATCATCACTTCGCAAAGGCTCTTTCAAGTCCCCTACATTAAGCTTCTCTGTTGCACTCTTCATGGGAAGGTTTCCAGCAATCGCACCATCAACATGATCGACAAAAAGCGGGGACTTGTCTCCTGTGTTGCCATTAGACCCAAGGGTACCTCGACTAGCATTTGGCATCAATGAATCTGAGTGTTTCTCCGGATTTGTAAAAGCTTTCCAATCACTTTTCAAATTTTGGTGATCAGTTCGTGATCTTTTCTCGCCGCCTCCTCTCATTAACTGAGGACTTTCATTTCCTAAACTTCGTTTATCCTTGTAAATGAATGATTCGGTACTGGGATCCGGAGTCCCGTCAATCTGACGTCGTAGTTTTGCAAGCAGATCATCTTCGTTAAAAACTACAAAAAAAATATTTGATGTGGTCTACAAAAACAAGTTTTTTTCCAAAAAACAGGCCTGTTAATACCATAAGTCACTGAAGGGGATGCAGGATCGTTTTTGTCAAAATAAATGTGAAGAATATGCTTTTTGTTGTGTTTGGTTAATAACAATGCACGTAATCTTTGAAGAATGTTTTAAACATTAACTTGTTTATCTAGAAACATATCTAAAACTGGATACAGCAAAGTTTTGAAAAACCAATAAAAATAAGAAAACGATTTCTCGGATTAGATTATCACAAACTTTCAAGTTTCAAACAGAAACTTGAAACATGAAACAGGAAATGTTTTGATTTTCGAAACAAATATGTATGACGATGCATTTTGTTTACTTAGATTAATAACCACGCATGTAACATTTGAAACGTGTTTGAAACGAAAACCTGTTTTTATCTAGAAACATGTTTGAAACAGGATACATTATTGTTTTTGAAAATCAAACATGAAGAAGATGCGTTTGACTTGTGTTTTTGACTATTCATATAATGCTTGAAACGTGTTTGAAACGAAAACCTGTTTATCTATAAACATGTTTGAAACAGGATACATTATTGTTTTTGAAAATCAAACATGAAGAAGATGCGTTTGACTTGTGTTTTTGACTATTCATATAATGCTTGAAACGTGTTTGAAACGAAAACCTGTTTATCTATAAACATGTTTGAAACAGGATACATTATTGTTTTTGAAAATCAAACATGAAGAAGATGCGTTTGACTTGTGTTTTTGACTATTCATATAATGCTTGAAACGTGTTTGAAACGAAAACCTGTTTATCTATAAACATGTTTGAAACAGGATACATTATTGTTTTTGAAAATCAAACATGAAGAAGATGCGTTTGACTTGTGTTTTTGACTATTCATATAATGCTTGAAACGTGTTTGAAACGAAAACCTGTTTATCTATAAACATGTTTGAAACAGGATACATTATTGTTTTTGAAAATCAAACATGAAGAAGATGCGTTTGACTTGTGTTTTTGACTATTCATATAATGCTTGAAACGTGTTTGAAACGAAAACCTGTTTATCTATAAACATGTTTGAAACAGGATACATTATTGTTTTTGAAAATCAAACATGAAGAAGATGCGTTTGACTTGTGTTTTTGACTATTCATATAATGCTTGAAACGTGTTTGAAACATAAACTTGTTTATCTAGAAACATGTTTGAAACAGGATACAAAATCGTTTTTGAAAATCAAACATGAAGAAGATGCGTTTGACTTGTGTTTTTGACTATTCATATAATGCTTGAAACGTGTTTGAAACATAAACTTGTTTATCTAGAAACATGTTTGAAACAGGATACAAAATCGTTTTTGAAAATCAAACATGAAGAAGATGCGTTTGACTTGTGTTTTTGACTATTCATATAATGCTTGAAACGTGTTTGAAACATAAACTTGTTTATCTAGAAACATGTTTGAAACAGGATACAAAATCGTTTTTGAAAATCAAACATGAAGAAGATGCGATTTTTCATTTAGGTTTGTGACGATGCAAAAAACTTTTGAAGTGTGTTTGAAACGTAAACTTTTTTATCTAGAAACATGTTTGAAACAGGATACAAAATCGTTTTTGAAAATCAAACATAAAGAAGATGCGATTTTTCATTTATATTTGTGACAATGCAAAAAACTTTTGAAGTGTGTTTGAAACATAAACTTTTTTATCTAGAAACATGTTTGAAACAGGATACATTATTGTTTTTGAAAATCAAACATGAAGAAGATGCGATTTTTCATTTAGATTTGTGACAATGCAAAAAACTTTTGAAGTGTGTTTGAAACATAAACTTTTTTATCTAGAAACATGTTTGAAACAGGATACATTATTGTTTTAGAAAATCAAACATGAAGAAGATGCGATTTTTCATTTAGATTTGTGACAATGCAAAAAACTTTTGAAGTGTGTTTGAAACATAAACTTTTTTATCTAGAAACATGTTTGAAACAGGATACATTATTTTTTTAGAAAATCAAACATGAAGAAGATGCGATTTTTCATTTAGGTTTGTGACAATGCAAAAAACTTTTGAAGTGTGTTTGAAACATAAACTTTTTTATCTAGAAACATGTTTGAAACAGGATACAAAATCGTTTTTGAAAATCAAACATGAAGAAGATGCGATTTTTCATTTAGATTTGTGACAATGCAAAAAACTTTTGAAGTGTGTTTGAAACATAAACTTTTTTATCTAGAAACATGTTTGAAACAGGATACATTATTGTTTTAGAAAATCAAACATGAAGAAGATGCGATTTTTCATTTAGGTTTGTGACAATGCAAAAAACTTTTGAAGTGTGTTTGAAACATAAACTTTTTTATCTAGAAACATGTTTGAAACAGGATACATTATTGTTTTTGAAAATCTAACATGAAGAAGATGCGATTTTTCATTTAGATTTGTGACAATGCAAAAAACTTTTGAAGTGTGTTTGAAACATAAACTTTTTTATCTAGAAACATGTTTGAAACAGGATACATTATGGTTTTTGACAATGTAACACGAATAAGATGCGTTTTTGACCTAGGTTTGTGACTATACAGAAAACTTTTGAAGCGTGAAACCTTTCAGAACATAAACTTGTTTACAACGTTTATATTAAGTGTGTTGTAAAGCTGTCAGGACAAGTCCTGGTACCAGTTTGTATGCATGAATAGCTTAACTCCTACCCTCTTACCACACAAAGTTGGTGTTTATGTATTGTAATACCAGAGACATGAACGTAAGGCCGTGGGGGGGGGGTTACAAAACCTTAACATTGCCTGTCTAGGATTGTCGACTGTAGGCAGCCCAATTTGTTCTATGTTGCACTTTATATATACTGAAGCAACGGGAGGAAGGCACCTGGGGGGAGGGGGGGGGGGTATCCTAGGTCCAAGAGACAAAAAGTGGCCTGTGAAAATCTTTCTCCCATGTAGGAGTTAACACACTTAAACCCAATCACTCTGCAAGTATTGTGAAGAAGTCAAAGCAACCGTTACGGCACAATTAATCATAGCTTAGTGTTGGCGAGAAAGATCGATGGAGTTGAAGTTCGAGTTCTGTGTAGAACTATGTTTTGCTTGTAAATATACGCGGTAAACGGTTTTATATGAAGTGGAATTGGATCAATATGAATTCTCCTCGATCGTGTTAAACTGTAACCTACGATTTTAACAGTTATGAATTGGTTGACACCAATCTTCAGAAGAATCATTAACAATAAAAATAGGTGTGAGAGAATAACAAATTTTTCTGCGAAGATAAATACCTGGGCTCTTTTCATCTTTGCCAACCGGCGCTGTCCTCTTCTCTAACTTTCCTTCAGGCTCGGGTGGTTTATTTGCGCTTGGTTGCTTGCTGAAATATCAAAGAAAATGTAAAAATAAGAAAGTGGTTAATACAGCGGATATTGTAGAAATATTCTGAAAAAGTAACTGAACAGAATTTCTCGCAAATGATAACATATGTCATAAAAAAGAGACTGCTTTGATACTCGAAACCAATAAAATACAACACAACACGATATGACTTGAAACAATAAGATACAATATGATAAGATACGATACAAAACAACGATACGATATGACAAAATATAAAACGAAATGATATGATTTGAAACAATAAAATACAATATGATAAGATACGATACAGTTCAATATAGTGAAATACAATACAGCACAATATCAAAACATGTGATACGAAAATATCAAATAAAAACCATACAATATAATACAAGACAAGTCAAGACAAGACAAGACAAAAGAAGACAAGACAAGACAAGACAAAACAAGACAAGACAAGACAAGACAAGACAAGACAAGACAAGACAAGACAAGACAAGACAAGACAAGACAAGACAAGACAAGACAAGACAAGACAAGACAAGACGAGAAAAGACAAGACAAGAAAAGACAAGAAAAGACAAGACAAGACAAGACAAGACAAGACAAG